AAAAAAAGCATTTAGAGCAACTTTTGTCTCATGGTGGCTATTTGCACATATGCTGAGCTCATTGTTTGACACTATTTTTAATATGAGTTCATCATTTGAACTGCAAGTATATGACAAAATATGGAAAAGCAAAATAGGTGCCTTTGAAGAAAACCATTATTTCTTGAGAAGAAAATCATCCTCATTTATTACTTTTACACAAAAAAAGCGACTACAGGTCATATCAACCTGAACACAAGCCAAAGACTCTCTGTGCTCCCAGTGCCAGGTCTCTCTCTTAGGTAATGTGAAATGAGTTGTGTCAAATTTAAATAGCCGGTGATGTTTTTAAATGTTACAAAGACATTTTTAACTGTTTTTCATCATTTAGCTGAGCATTAGATTAGATTAGCATAACTACAAGGGAAGCAGTCTCGGTATATGAGCAACCTGCTCTCGGTGGGCACATCCCTGCTGTCTGTAAAACCTCAAGCACTGTAATAAATTAAACCTCCGTGATGTAAATGAGTCGGTTTAGATTCATTTCATCTAAGCACTTTAAGAGGCCTTTTATTAGATTTGATTAGATTTGATGCAGAGCACAGACATGAATGGCAAACCTGAATTAGTTTACAAGCAGTTTACATTTTGTACTTAGAGCAAACAGGAAGTTACACTCAGTAAGTTCACTATTTAAACACTTAGCTGTGGCCGTGGTCTCACAAATGCTGCATTAGGTGCACATCTAGTCACAAACCATGTCTATCTGCCATCTCACGCTGAAGAGGAAATGTTCAGTTTGGTGATCAGAGATCTGGCATGTATTCTAGACACACACACAAACACACACAACTTGAAATAATGAGAGGAAAACTGCTGAAATGCTCTGTAGCGCTGTGTTTACTGCAGACTTTCATAAACAGCAGAAGTGATCATCTGATAAATTATTAATAAGATGGTGACGAGGAAGGACATTTTAAAATGGCATACAGCGTCTCCTCTTAGCAGTGTGTCATCTCGTGAAGTGAACAAACAATTACAAAGCAGAAAATAAGAACCAAAAATTGATCTTTGTGGAGAACAAAGGGCATCGAAAACTGTCAGCTACAACCCATTAAACCTCAGACGGAGCAGCCGGGCCTCCTTTTTAAGCTGCAATCAAACAATGCAGCCTTCAGCGATAATAGGACTGCATCACCGGGACTCTGTTGACTTTCAAAATGCTTTCAAAGAAATGGCAGCCTCAGTTTAAAGTCAGGACCCCAGACATCGATCGACGGTCTTAGCCTCTCATTCTGTTCCTACAGCTCCCAAAACAACAAGTCGTCCTCTGCAAGCTTAAAGCTTTTTTGAGTACAGCGTGACACTTTCTGTGACACACGATCACTACGTCTGCCTCTCACCAGACTGCTGCATTTCTGACTTTTTAAAACTCACTTAAAAAAATAAATAAAACAAAATCTTGCAAACACTCAAAGCTTAAGATTCAACAGCTCATACTGAGCACATCTGCATTTTTATTAGCGCAGTATCCACAAAATTAACAACTGGAAAAGCTCATTTTTATCTGTTATGTGAGCATCTCTGACCTGGAAACAGATGACAGTAAACAGGGACGACAGTGATCACCCTGCCTCTGCAGAGGTCTGAGGAATCACAGGTGTGGTTGAGGTTAAACGAGCAGGCTTCAGTTTGAAGCGCTCGATAACCTGCAGACGGTTTCTGATCGTCTGAGATTTCAAAGTCAGTTTCCTGTGGAGGCTGTGATCAGCACAGCTTTCTGCAGAAACCTCACTGCAAAGTCCTGCTCGCTCATCCCAAGAGTCTAAAGTTTCCATTAAATATATTTTAGCTGGTTTCTGCTATCGATTACATATTATTTTATTTTTTACTCACGGAAGTGCAGATCTTGTAGCCGACCCCGAAGTCAAATCGACACTGCTCATCCATCGAGTAGTTGATGCCAGGAAGTTCAGGAAGCTCCGGCCAGTCATGTTTGAAGGGGTCATCCAGGAGACAATCGTACGTGCTGTGAGGACATGAAGGTTCGTGCTTTCACTCTGAACAAGCCAAACAAAGTTCACAAAAAGGTTTATTGACACAAACTAGAGATCTTTATTTGAAAGGGGATCTGTACCTGGAAA